TTGTCTTGTATTGATGTTGATAATGCTCTTGGCAGGATACTGCTGCCACAAGAGCCAACACGGACAGAACCTATAAACAAAGAATTAAATTTGTATAATGGAAAATACATATCCAGTGCTTTAAAGTTCAATGTCTTTTTTAACTCTCATAATACCTTAGCGATCATTTTTTAATGTTTATTGAACAACACCCAATTCACATGTGATGCCGAATGAATGAAAGCCTTCAATTTTATAGGTTTAATATGGTAGTGACAAAACAAGTTTAATTCAAATTCGATGACTTTTGACCGCATTACTGAAAATCTGGTTTTCATAAAATCGAGCAGCGCAAAGGAGGTCTTTCGTAACTTTGAACTTGTGGCAGACACGCGAGGAAAGTATGCGGGTGATCATGTAACAAGTACCCTTGAAAGTTTTGATCTAAAATTATTTTAGTAATTGTTACTGAATTACTACTAATGTGTAGTGAGAAAAGTGAGGCTCTAAATTTTATTCTAAAAAAAAGATTTTATTCTGAATAATTCATAAATGAATACAAGTTAAAATAAAAACATAAAGTTAATAATAATAATATTCCTTATTGCATAGGAAATATTACAAAGAAGCTAAACGAGAACCGACAAAAGGTGGTTATTATAACTTAGCAGTCTCTTCCAGGCAACAGGACCCGGTGGGACCCCGGGTCCTTCCCCTCCACTCCCAGAGGATACTCACAGCGGGTTTTACCTGGTAGGCCGGCCTCGCTTAAGCCTGTCTTAAAATAAGCTTGCATTTCCGTTGGTAACAAAATGCATCTCATGACGAAAAAAAATATATTAATAAATATAGCTAGGAGGCAAGACGAACTTAAATCAAAACGATATAGTTAAGTATTGGCAGTGTTGTGATAAATAAATTTCAAATTTTTTGTCATATGCTGTTGTTTTCTAATTCAATAAAAATGTCTTCATAGATAAACACCTAAACTGCTTTATTGGGTAAAATCAAGGCATAGTTTCTGCAAGAAATAAAGCGGAAGACCTGCAGAAACGTGGATACACAACAGGCAGGCTATCTTTACAAATATTTAAACCATCTTATTACTTTTTCGTCGCAGATAAATTGTAGGCTAGATTTTTTTATGCTTGTGAATGGGAAATAATTATTTGACGACATCAAAATAACCTCATAACGTAATTAAATAAAGCCAAGTGCTTCATTCTATTACTTGTTACTTGTCACGGAAAATCTGGAATTGAACAATGATGGTTTAACTACACCGTTAATAGATATAACCTGAGATAAATAGACAAAACCAGTTTATTAGCTGGGCTGCTACCCCACCAGCAAGCAAGCCTAGAATGTCCAAGTCGCTGACAAAATTTTATATAGTAGTACTTTAAAAAAAAAATTATGAAAAACGTAAAAAAATCTTCTATATCTACTTTATATTCTTATTAGATTATTATAAGCAGTCTTTTGTTATGGGTTATAGGTAACTCTTAATATCGCCAACTGTTGTTAATTTCTAGTTTGGTACTTTAAAAACGTATGATATCTAACTCATTCGCAATATAAAATCACCATTTGACGGCCATCATGGCTTAATGGTTCGCACGCAAGTTTCAAAATGTCGCTTTCTATTCTATCAAGTCTCGGATTCGATTCTCGGTCGGGTCAATATAAAAATGAACATCCAACATTACAGCGGATCTGGGTGTTGTGATTTCTTCGATCTTACAGACTTCCGTTATACAAATGATAAAACTAATGTATGTGATATCTAATATTTATTTATCATTTCAAATAATTGCCTTATGTAAGCTTTTAGAATGTAATTAAATAATATTTGACATTATCACGTTATTATATTTTTTAATTAATTAAGGTGACTATTATTATTAAATACCATTACTGTAACATCTCTAGTACTGTAACATAAGATAAAAATTATCGAAAAGTTGGTTTGCTACGATGACCTCGGACCTGAACTCACCGTTGACCGCATCTTTGGTATCCGCATACATGTAGCTACTGAGATTCTCGGACTTGATACAAATATTGCCACAATCACTCTATATAGTTTTAGGAAGAAGAGATATTATTTTTACAAAGGTTTTTGAACTTTTAGCGTCGCTGTACAATATCTGTCGGTAGTGTTATAACTCGTCACTAACGTCAGAACTTACAAATTATATAATACTTGCTGTTATAATACTGTCTCGCAAATATTAAGACATAAATTAAAGCCAATGCCACGCGTATAATGCCGCTTCTCATAAATAAAAGATTTTTTTAAATCGATCCTGTAGTTTCGAAGCTTATTTGATACAAACAAATCATCATCTTTTGTCTCGGGTCTGGGCTTTGTGATGCCTTCGTTGTCTCAGATACTCCATAATACGAGGGCCTTAGCTCATGGAATCTGAGCAATGTATGTGATTTTATATAATATTCTTTATTATTATAAAACAATTTCTATTCAATGTAAACGAATAAAGAAACATTTCCTCTTTAAATACCTATATTACAGTCTTTTAGAAACAATGTTGTAGAAAAAATATCACAAAAAAAGATTACAGTGTTTTTTATGAAAAAAAAAATCAGCTAAACTATGAAATTAAAACGAAAGCATTTATATTATAGCCTTTATTACATAGTAACACCTTAAAACTAAAGAAGATTTATTGTAAAAATCGTTAATTAGTTAATGATGGTATTCATGATGTTGAGGTTGGACGTGTTTTGTTGATGTCTTGACTTGAGCGTTGAATCTGAAATTAAAAAAAAAACTTCAATGTTACCAATATTAAGAGAATATATCTACAATAGCAGATCAATAAAAGTGTATTGATTATGTCTTTGTTAGTATTTAGAGGTTACCCGCTCTTCTTATCAGCTGCGTATTGTACGGTGCGGATGGAACCATCAGGCTCATGCAGGGAGTAGAAACCCTTTACGGCATCACCATCACGAATCTCATGTTGGGTCTTGTGGTCTCCAGTATGATGGTCTTCCACTGAGTACTCAAAAGCGTACTTCGGATACGCCTGAAACATCAAGATCAATGTTCAGTACAATTGGCAATTCGAATTAATGAAAATATAATCAAATAATATTTACATAGTAGTCTTCATGGTGTGACTCCTCCTTCTGACCTTCGTATTGGATAGGCACATGCTTGATAATAGGTGTGGCATGGATGGAAGCCGTCTCATGGATTGGGGCAGTGTGGGATTGGATATAATAGTGTTGTGGGGCCTCTTTTTGCTTTGATTCATGGCGGATGATACTTTGAGAAGATACAGCATGCTGTTCACCCGAAGAGTGCAGCTGTGGTGCGCTCTGGATGGTGTGGATTGGCAAGGCATTTATAGATGCAGCATGGATAGAAGCCGTCTCATGGATTGGGGCGGAGTGGGATTGTATAGAATAGTATTGTGGGGCCTCCTCGTGTTTTGAATCATGGCGAATGATACTCTGGGAAGATACGGCCTGGTGTTCATCAGAAGAATGCAATTGCAGAGCGCCCTGGAATGTATTGATTGGTAAAGCATATCCGCCTGTATGAACAGGCAGTGACTGGTGTAACACGATTTTTTTTGGCACCTTCTGGCTGATGACAGTGTTATATTGTTGGTGATAGTGCTCTTGGCAGGACACTGCTGCCAAAAGAGCTAATGCGCTCAAAACCTATGGATTAAAATTAATATTATTAGTATTTATGTGCTCCAGGATAATATATATATTTCTTTATATCAAATGTTCACTCCTTATTTACCTTAGCAACCATTTTACTGCTGTCTGTATAAGAACAAAGTGAATTCTGATACAAAATGAAACAAGATCCTTTGATTTTATACACCGAAATATCAAAAGTGCAAAACTGGTTTGGGATCATTTTCGGTAACCATATTGCCAGTGAACGCACTTTTAGTTGTTTTACGTAATACAACATTTTTGGATTTAATTACATTATTATCCTTGCAGGTGTAAGACCTCCTTGATCAAATGGATTGCATGCCGTCCTTTTCTGTCTATTATAAATAAAATATAAATTTGACTACTCTTATAAATTACTGATTTATAATAACATTTTCTACACCTATTTTATGGAGCTGAAACGTTATTGAAGTTTATCGAGTTTACCGCGGAACTTCAAAAAATGATTAATCTATCCTAAATAAAGCCGTTAGTTTGGCCAACCGATCCACTTTCAGGGCTTCACTTGGAAGTTGAATTAAAAATCACATTTAAAAAGGTACCACCAAACGTACTACTGAAAACATATTGATCTGTTAAAAGTTAAAAGATATCCAGCTAAAAAGAATACCATTATGATATATTTTAGTAGTAAGTGGTCTAATCTAAGGAATTATATGTAGCAAATTGCGGAATAGGTATAAATATATGGGTTGGATTGTATTTACGTAAAAGTGATTATTTATTTTAATAGTGTATTTATATGTAGATTCTCATGCCTGTAATAAGGATTTATATTATGATTATTGATTATTTGGCGCCAGATCATCGTAATTTCAATTATTTTCTACCATATAAGTTGCTTGTAGAATTGCAGTTACTAATTCAAAGATTTAACATTTATTATCTTCATCTTTAATTATGTTTATCAATGTTAATCGTATCAAATATAAGGCTATTACGACTTAATGAACTTTTTGCCATAGAAATTTTGTAACGCCTCTATCAGTTAGACCAATTTTTTGTTCATTTAAATTTGTGTCAATAGTATTTATTATACAGAAGCCTTGCATAATTCGTTCATAATAAAGTGTAACAATGTCATACTGAGAATGTAAGCAGGCTCGAATGCTTTACGAAATCATTTCAAACACTAAGTGTTAAATTGTTTAATAATTTTTGAGTGCATATTATCGGAGTGAAATCTATATTGCCTTGGACACCCTTAGTATTGGTATAAAAGACGGGGGTAATATTGATACAGTATCATTCAGGTTCTGAGCTTAGTCAAATTAGCTACAGCTAATTAAAATAAAATGTTCTCAAAGGTAAATGATATATAGTGATTTATTTAGTGACTAGTGAATTTTAAGTGAACTACAGAGGAATAGTGACAATAAATATTAGTGCCACGTGACAAATATTTGAATTAAGAAAGAAAGAAAGAATTAGTTATTAATTTTAGTGATTTAAGGTTTTAGCTACGGCTAACTCTCAAAAAAGGAAAAGTGATATATACCGGTTGCTTAATAAATTGGTTTGTAACATTTGTGATTGGTTTTAGGTGATTTGCGTCGTCGCATTAGTGTCTGTGGTCGCGGCACAGCACGGTCATGGTCATGGTTATGGGCACGCGTTCTCATCGCAGCACATCTCAAGACACGACGGACCCGCACACAAAGTGGCAGTACACGGTGGTGGACACGGTGACGGCCATGGCGAAGGACATGGTCATGGACATGGGGATGAGGGCCACTATGATTATTATGTATGTGTTTAAGTATTTTAAACCTGATATTTGACATCCAAACTTATTTTGAGATTACACAGTCCAAGTAACTCGATTTAAGAATTTAGAAATTAGTACTGGGATTTGTTATTTACAGTAAGTGAGCACTAAAATTGACCTTTTAGAAATACAACCCTTTCAACCTTGAGGGGTTTAAATGTCGAAAGTTTGCATGGAAGGCCATAATTTTTTATATAAGTTTTGATAATTAGATTTCAGCATTTTGATTAGAAACAAATAGTACAAATTTCATATTTTAAAAAGCTTCCAAAAAAATTAAAAAGGATTTTCTCGTTAAATAGTAGTTTAGTGTTAAAAAAATGCAGTCGATGAAAAGCTTAACTCGTAGTTTTCCCACATTTTTGAATCTTGTATGAGATTATGTAACTTTACTATTGCGAAATATATTGATTTTATAATAGATTATCAAAAAATTTAAATTTAAGAACAATTACAGCTATTTTACACTTTTTGGATAATTTTTCATGATTTTAAGTGTACCGTATATATTAACGTTGCTACATCTGTGATTATATCATATCATTCATGTGATTATATTTGTTAGCTAATCTTACATATTTGTCTTCATACATCTTTATAACAGTCTCTATTTTACAGTATACTTTTAATATGACAAAGAAAAAAGTCATATAAAATAATGTTCTTATTATAGGCGTACCCTAAATATGAGTTCGAGTACAAAGTAGAGGATCCCCATACCGGAGACTTCAAGACACAGCACGAGCATCGCGACGGTGATGTCGTCAAGGGTTTCTACTCCCTGCATGAGCCTGATGGTTCCACCAGACACGTCGATTACCATGGCGACAAGAAATCTGGGTAAATTCATATTTTATTTAAATAAAAAACGTCCATAACCAACTAGCTCTCGTGCCAGTTTCTAGGTGTCTTTTAATTTGTGAACCCAAGTTTGATTCTCGGTTGAAAAATTCAACTTTTCTTTATTGTGTTGGATCTACATGCGTAGCATGATGAACTTTGAGAAATTTTTGTCTACGCCCACACGATATCGCAGTCTAGACCTGAAAAAAATGACATTTGGTGTAGGCAAAGTATTTCCAGAGTTTGATATGCTACGTGTTCTGGTACCTGTTTTATGGTATCTTTGTTGTTACAGATTACCATAATACAAGAATATTTGCTATTTCATTTGGAATATGTACAACGTTAACACCCCTATTATTTATATATGATCATGAAAATACATATCGTAGTTGTGGTATTATATAAAATATAGGTACAGAACATTATTAAGATAAGTTTTCTTACTTTATTTCTTTCTTATTTTCAGATTCCATGCTACTGTGAAGCACAGTACCCACCATATTGTCCCAGAGAAACACCATCATTGATGTCAATAATATAGCAGAACTTTTAATGAAATGTTAATTGTTAATAACTGTGATTTTTTGTTACTGATTTGTACATACCTACCAAATAAATATTTTATATGATTTTTTATTTTCATTTAACAGGTAAGATTGTATCCTTTTTTCTCAAAATTCAATATTTTTTATAGGTCATTAAATATTTTTAATATCGCTATCTTGTTTATTTATAAAAAATATAATATCTACTGATATTAAGCAAATGGCTTTGTAATACAAGTGGTGGTCACATTATTTTTGAAAATGTATTCTTACTTTTTTTTTATAAATTTAACGAAGTTATAGAAATAAACTATTGCATTTAGTAACAACAAGATTTAAACCAAAATTAAAATGAACGCGATATTTATGTATGCCTTAACATTATATGAATTAAATTTAATTAATTAAATATGTATATTTAAAAAAGCTAACGAAAATCGGTGCCTCAACCCAGATTCATAATAAACGGTAAAATAATGAATGGTCTTTTAACAAAGCAAAAGCGGCTTATTACAAAAAAAATAAATAATCAAGAGCAAGGCAGAAGACCTCTGTGTCTCCAAAAACGAAATTTCCTTTATTTAAGAAACAATAATATGAATCAAAAGAAACGCATTTTTGTAATTTAGGATGCAATAGAGGTAAAACTTAACACTGTCTGTGATGCACAGATAATCTTCACGGGTAAGATTGTTGGTATATTTAACTATCCAAGTCGATTAAATTAAATATCTATACTTAATAATTTATTTAATTAATTAAAGTATAATGATATTCCGATGTCTATTAATAAAATACAAAATACAACTCTGTGTTTTTACTTTTCCTTGAATCCATCTCTTACAAAATCTCCAAAAAATTATAAAAACGTTTCGAAATTTTCCTAAATTTCGTACGTGGCGAAACAGAGTTGGATCTCAAAATATTACGCAGTGGATTCCGTATAGTTTTAATATAAAAAAATATCATAGTGTATATATATGTAAATTCAGCTGTACATGTATATTTGAATATTAAGCCTAAAATTGTTAGATACGGTGGTTGTGACCTCTCACCACTGTCAAATGATTGTTTAAAATTGTTTGTTTAAATTGCATTGTTTATTTAAATGACATGAAAGCAATTAGCATAAATAAAACATATTTGAGTGTCACTTAGTAACTGAAACATAGTTTTTTTTGTTTTCTAACTTTCTTTTAATTTTTAAGCTTTTTTACATTCTTCACACATAACATACTCGTACGTTATATGGCTGTCTTTGAGCGGCTAATTCACATATGTCCAAGGTCCAAATTGTTTCGGATAAAATTAGCTGTGATAGACATACATACAGCTAGCTAGAAAGGATCAGGTTAACGAAAATCCAATGGAAAATTATTTTTAGCAATAATATCAATTTATAAAATAAATACGAATAACCTGACGAATTGGATTAAGACAACAAGCTATATCTAAAAATTCTGTATTTGTTTTATTTTCACATTGATGATGACTTCCGTAGTCGAGTAGTTTGCGCGCCGGTTTCGGGGTGTCGCCGTCTCTGAGATTCCGAGTTTGATTCTCGGTAGGGTCAATATGGAAAGTGGACTTTTGGCTACTCATTTTGTAATCTGAGCAATGTGTATGGTGTTGTCTTATATTTATTTATTATTATTACATTCTTGTAGAAAAAAGCTCAGTGTCTACTTACCTCCCTTGAATCAGCACATATATGTTGCGCTTAAAGATCGAAATCGGTTATTGAGCAAAAATTAGTCCACAACGCGTTGTGGCTATCGCAGAATACCCACGCTCATAACACGCTATGAAAATCACAGATTATTCTGCGAGTGCCACGATACGTTGTGAGCGATTTCAAGTCATGTGGTTATCGACAAAGCGAAGTCCATTTCAACGCATTGTGTCAATGAAGAATAGCCACGACGCGTTGTGAGCAATAACTGGTTTAACGGTTTCATTTTACAATAGCGATCCGCTTCTGGCACTTCTGCGGTCGAATAGCTTGACAGCTAAGATACTGATATGTGGATATTTTATATTACTATGTGGATATTTTACTATATTACCACAAAGCGTTGTAAACTGTTCTGTCGCTCAATGAGCGATTTCAATCTTTGGGCGTAACATATATAAAATAATGTAAACAATTACTTCGCAAGTATAAAAATAAAAAGATATTTGTTATTCTCAATTTTGTGAACAGGTGAATCGATTTTACGAATGTTGGTTTTGGAAATTTTGACGAGGTAAAAGAAAGGTTTAATAAAATATAAAGAAATTGCAACGAAAGGAAAGTGAATACTAAATTCTCATGTTCCCGTACAAAGCCTGTGAAAAAAAAACTGAGAGACGTGTAAATTCTTAAAAAATATCAATATATCATTAAATTTATCGAATAATATAATTGGAAATATTATTTGAAAGTTTATATTTATGAAATTTATATTATTCTTCTAAGGATTTTATTAATTGCTTGTTTGCATTCAGACTGTATTAATATTCTGGTGAACATATATATTAATTTAACATATTTTATGTGTATCGGGGCTATTAGAATCGATACTTATTTTTATGTTCGCTACAAGGTTTGTATCATAACCCTGAACTTAATACTCAGTTTTTTCATCAGACGCCTCCAAATCAACCGTAAATTCGCGATGATCTAATTAACACATGATCTACGAAGGACATTTATCATCTTATTATACATGTTACATAACAAGCGTTTTAATTTATCACCTAATTTTTCTTATTTTCAGTTAATTTTTTATATAAAACTGACAAACGTCAGATTATAAAAGGCCAATCTTCATTCGATTTCATATCTTAGTCAAAGTCAAAAGTCAAACTCAAAATAATTTTTATTCAAATAGACTTCTTAAAAGTACTTTTGAATAGTCCATCATTTTTTTTCCCTACCACTAGTTCAGGACGTCTTTTGGCTGATAAGAAGAACGAGCAAGAAACTCACCAGCTCTAATAAAAGTAATGACATTTACAAAAACCATGTCATTACCAGATCAATACATTATAAACAGAGATAGAAAAAAAAAACTATGGTCTAATAATGATAACATAATCATTTAATAATATTGGAAACAAGATAATGAGTTTAGAAGTAATCCTATATTCTATCCAGTTGCTGGATCATCTCAAGTCCAAGCGTTCTTATCTGTTATATAATCGAATACCTTATAATAGTTTTTATAGTAGATTTAAACTGCATGATATCTAATTGTTGTATTTTGCTTGGGACCTTATTGTAGAACCGCACACAAAGACCCTTGAATGAGTTATTAACTTTTTGCAGTCTAGTGACAGGCACCATTAATTTATTTTTATTTCTTGTATTTACATTGTGTACATCACTTTTTATATAGAAAACAAACTAATATTTTTACGAACGTACATTAAGTTCTCGTATATGTATTGAGAAGCAACAGTCAAAATATCTATTTCCTTAAATTTCTCCCTAATCCTAAGATTACAAATTGATCGAATTGCTCTTTTCTGAAGCACAAAAATTGTTTGTACATCGGCAGCATTTCCCCACAATAGGATTCCGTACGATATTACACTATGTAAGTAACTGAAATATACTAATCTGGCAGTATCTATGTCAGTTAACCTACGTATTTTCATTACGGCATATGCTGCAGAGCTAAGTCTACCCAACATTTGATCAATATGTGGGCCCCACTGTAGTTAAGAATCTAATGTTATTCTTAAAAATACTGTGGTATCCACAAGGCCCATGTTCTTATCTTTTATATTAACATTTATATCTACTTTTTTAACATTAGGTAGTACAAATTTTAAGCATTTTGTTTTTCCTTCATTAAGGAGAACATTATTTACATTAAACCAATGTACTACTTTAGCTTTACTTAATGTATTCAATTCAGAATTGAATCCACTTTGTCCTTATGTAGCAATCTTAATTATGTTGACGTGTGTACAAGGAAAAGCACGTTAGACTATACAAAACAGTCTTATTTCTCCTCCCTGTTTTAAACCTTTATACACTGAGAGTAGAGTTCAAAATCCATTGCCGACATATGATATACTAGCTTTCGCCAGTGGCTTCGCCCGTGTGGACCCTAGGGAAATGTTAAGTGGGATAAAAAGTATTATCTAAGTCAGCTAATACCCTATCTGTATACCAAATTTCATCAAAATCCGTTCATGTCAATTACCGACAAACATCCAAACATCTAAACAAAGAAACTTTCACATTTATAATATTAATAGGATTGCTGTAACCTCATGTGTAGTTGTGTGTACATTGCTATAGCATACATTACACGAAAATAGTAGTAACTAAAATATTTTCCAACTAGAGTTAGTTGGAAAAGGTTCTCAAAAAAAAATACTTCTGATATTTATCTTAAAGGCAAATACAATCTTTCGCATTCCTGGGACTAGTGAATTAATAAACATTTTTCCAGATAAATATCAATATAGCATTACGGATGCGAAATTTATCAATTGCAATAATTAACATCCGTAAATCACTATTATCACATTCATCATCATCAAAGAATTGTTATTTATCGCACTGCTAGGCATATGCTCTCGAATGGAAAGAATAGCATAAGGGAAATGGATAATAATACATCATGTGGACCCAATGCATATTTGTGTCATAGAATCTCACAAATACTATCCAAAAAATATTACTATAACTAGACATAAAGTAACACCCGTGGACATAAAGGTTATTCGTACCACACAAATACTATGTAAAACAACCTCACTATAACATTGTTTTGATAGCATGTATTTGTGAATATACACTAGTGATAATAAATAACCCTTAAGTACAATAGTGTTTATTTTACATAATATATGCCCTTTCTGAAGATCATAGGAGAAAGGGATGTAGGTTATCTTGAAAACATTTTTTAATAAACTACCATCTCCCTATTTCATGTCATCCAAGCCTGTGCAGAACACTGGAGACAATAATTAGGCTGATGATAAAGATGATAAAACCACATCATGTCACAAGCAGATACTGTTAAATGATAACGGTAATATTTTAATTTCTTTCCGAGGTAGAAGATAATTCTTTGAGATTATATGCAGTTACTGTATAACTCCGTAGAAGAATAAGACAACAGGAATGTTGGGCAGATTCAATTTTGAAAATATAACATCCATAATAATATTACAAAACAAGTAACATTTTTATCGTTTGTTTGTTTGCATTAAACAGGTTAGGAACCCACTTTAATAATTACACAGGTCTGCGATGAAAAAGTTTTTTTGAGAATTTTAAGCATAACTTGCACATGTTGATATACATAATGCAAATATAAACTTAACTGTTTTAGAGTACATAAAATACTCCGAACACAAATGGTACATTTGGGGAGACTTAAAACTCATATGTATGCCTCTTGGTCAACAGCAAGGGTACACAAAATTCCCGTATTATATTTGTGAATGGGATAGTAGAGCAAGAAACTTATATTGGGAAATATCTGATTGGCGTATGAGACCAAAATTGGAGGTTGGAGTAATCATAATAGTATTGTCACAGAAATGTTAAACGCCTATAAAAACTTGGGTTGTAATATGAGTTGGAAAGTCCATTTTTTGAAATCTTATATTAATGTTTTCCCAAAAAATTAAGGCGATTACAAAGAAGATTTCAGGGCCGTTGGGACGTTAATATGATGGCAGACTATTGTTAGATGATATGTAGAGATAAAGTAAAAACTCATAAACAAAAAACCAACGAAGCGCAGTTTCCTTTCAAAGAAAATACGTTATTGATTGTTTTTTTTATTCGTATTTTATTTTACTCTTTTTTATTTCATTCAAACTCAATAAAGCTTATAAAATTGTAAGAAAAGACTATTCATTATTTTTTAAAAATTTTGACTTGTAGTTATTTTTATGCTAATATTATACCATGTAAATCTGGGAAATGTGACGTGATAAATACCAAATAAATGCTGTTTTATATTATTTAAAACGTAATTGTAACGAATAAGAACAGTTTATGAAAAAAAACTTTTCAAAAAAATTATGTCGTAGACCTGTGATTTCACTTAGGGGAAGCTACTTCATACTCTGATGACATATACTACTCATATAATTTACGCGGACGAAGTCACTAGGAACAGCTAGTACGTTAAGTACTGTCCAAGAAACCCGTAGTAGTTGATACTACTACTCAATTAACTTTTTCAGTCAAATTATTCTTGTGTTTATTGGCGTAATGAAATAAGTGAAAGCTTCAGTAGGCACATAATTCAATACGTTGTGACAGTCTGAAGTATTTGCATGTAGAACTAATTACTTTACGAAATTATTGCAACCACTGCATTCTAAGCTCGTGAATATTTTCACTGTCTATTGAGTGAAACCAATATTACCTTGACTGCCCTTGTTATAGAATATAAAAGACTTACAGCTGAGCCGATATGTATCAGTTTGCTACTGAACTTAGAAACCTCAACTAAACAAAAATGTTCACTAAGGTCAGTTTTAAAATTAAGATAAGATAACAGATATAAAATACGGTAATTTTTAAAGGTATAGATAAAAAGTAAAAACCTAATGGAAAAGGAAATCAAAATATTTGTGTCCTTTCATTAAGATAATAATCTTGTCCTAAAATTTTAGTAGCTAACTTAAAATTTATCTTTTAATATTATAGGCTTTGTGCTTCGTCGCTCTCGCATCTACTGTGGCTGTGGTAAATAGCCACGGTCACGGGTTCTCATCGCAACACATCTACAGGCATGATGGACCTGCACACATCGTGCCAGTTCATGGACATGGTCATGGTCATGGCCATCATGATGGTCACGATTACTATGTAAGTTTGTAGCATATTGATTTATAGGATTAGTTGTCATCGAAGAATAATATATTGTAACTAAAAATACCCTGACTAACAAAATATTATGAAATCCAACAGGCCTACCCTAAATTCGAGTTCGCTTACAAAGTAGAGGACCCCCACACCGGTGACTTCAAGTCGCAGCATGAGCATCGTGATGGTGATGTCGTCAAGGGCTACTACTCCCTGCACCAGCCTGATGGCTCCATCAGACATGTAGACTACCATGGCGACAAGCATTCCGGGTATGTAAATGGAAATATTATTTATATAGATTGAAAAACCAATAAAGATTTCCACAATATTCCACTCACATGCGTAGATTGCATCCTCTTTAAGAATGCAGTCCTTAAACAAAATAATTCTTTTTAGAGGCAAATAATCTGACTAGCACTGTCTAAGAAATCCAATCCCTTTAAAATAAACCTTCGAGACTCTTGCAACTTCAATCTTTAACAGTTCAAATTTGACTTATTACCGGCCAAGGACTATTTTTATAAGTTTATAATTATGTGAATCTACATTATATATGCTTTGCAAACAAAAGTGACGCTTGAAGTATTATATAGCATAAGTAAATACTTATTTAATTTTTTAGAACAGAGTTACTGTTAATAAATTTTTACTTTGAGAATAAAAACAAGACATGATAATTATATACTACTTTCTTATACTTTTTAAATAATCACTGCTATTTCGATATGATATACTAAAAAAGCAGCTTCGAACTTGATAGCTTAGAGCTTCAATGCAATAGAACCTTTATAACCTTATTATGTTTGATCAATTTTGCATTCAAAATGCTATACTGAAAAATATAACAGTTTTTTTAAGCATTCTCCATTAAGAATACTTTAAAACCTTTTCAGATAGGTTTGGTTTGATTGAACCTCTATGCAGTGCCAGCAAGGCGTTCGTTTTGGAGTTCTTGGCTGTTCATAATAGACTACATAACCTAGTGTACTTCGTATCCCCTCTCACCGTTGAATGCTACCCTAGAATATGAAAATATTTCAAAACCAAAGTCAGTAAAATCAGCCGAGTCGTTCTCGAGTTTCAGCGGGACAAACGAACAGCAATTGACTTTTATTTATTTATATATTAGTACAGGCACAATAGCAGACCACAACAAGCTGTTTAATTTGTTTTTTTTTTTCATTTTTTTAGTTTCCACGCTGATGTGAAGCACAGCACTCACCACATCGTCCCACATCACCACAACCATCATTATTGAATACTCTTTATGATATAAAACATAAAATGTTATCTTTGCCAAGAACTTTTTGTTCAACTGTGATCTTTTGTTAAATATTTTTATATGTTTGTACGTCATAATAAACTTCTTTCCGTCTACTTACTCTTTTTACTGTGATATCCTATCTATGAAAGTGATCAATTGAAAATTTTATCGTTTGGTAAATTTATTTCTAAGCAATATTAATCATAACTTGAAAATATGAGGTTATTTATCCGTACTTTTTGTAAATTATATAAATAACATTAAATATTTGACAGACCCCAAATAAACTAGCTTGAGTAATTGTAATATGGAAATGTGAAAGTACGATTGTACACAACACCTAAATCAGAGACAATATAGAAAAATACATTTAATAAATTTACTCAACCGGGAACCACCCTGGGTTTCAGACATAGCAACACCTTCAAACCGGTGTGCTACAGCCACTCCGCTGTGGACGTTGAAATATTTTATATCATTATGCTCAAGTAGAACGATAACAGCAATATAAATTGACTTTTGTATAATTTTCATATTCTATATTATATTTTTTCACATTTAAAATTTTCTATTGAGTAGGTTTCAGTGACTTCAAAGTATTTCAATATAGTTAAAATTTTGTGTAAAATTTTTATCAATACTTTTTTGCGAACTTATATGCAACATTATTGAAGTAATTCTAAAAACCAACGCGAAAACTGTTGAGTCACATAATTTTAAATTGCTTAGGTTTCATTATCAATAAGAACTCGATATGATTTTCTAAGAATAATTTATTTACGATCTCCGTGATCGAAAGTCTCGTAAACCAGTTTCAAGGTATCGCGATCTCTAAGATCTGGGATCGATTCCCGGTTGCGCCAATATAGAAAATAAACTTTTCTATAAAGTTTCGTATCTGAAAATTGTGGTGACTTCGTTTTTTCACATTTCTTTAATATTTAAGCTACTTCATTTGTGATCTAACTAATATGTATATTTACGAAACGCTTTATGAGTACATTCAACGCTTAAAAAATATCCCAACACCAGCCAAAATATTTCAAGCTCATTTTAAATTTGACTTCCTCCTACACGTGGGTATACCTCCACCACCGTAGTGAAGATAGATCCGAAGAATATGATAGTTTAGAAATTTAATATTAAATTTCGGGGTTATTTTTTTTCAGACCACCAAATCGCTATGTCGTAATAATAACGTATAAAGAAACTTTCAGTATAATATTAGATTTCTTTTTTGGCGACCCTGTGATATATACCTCTTTACTAGTCTAGAGGAGTCTTCCATCATTAATGTGACGTTATGTCATTCTATATAAATATATGAAATGCTGTAAATATATAGAATTTGTAATTTAATAAAGTAAATAACAAATTGGCAACGAGATGTCGAAATATATATATATAAAAAGAAAACAAAGAAAGTACGCGCTTCTTTAGAAATTTACCTAATGAAGAAATCGATTTTGTATTGAATTCTTTTATTATATTGAATTAGAAATAGATGACACCGATTTAGATTAGGAAATACAATACAGATTTGATTTTGAAGAGACTGACATTAAAATTAGAAGAAAATATATGACATTAGGTAATTCAAATGAAATTCAAATGAAATTCAAATTGCTTTACCGAGGAGATATACTTCCAACAGTTGATACTAACCATAGGGCCAAAACCATAGGGTCAAAAATTTTAGATTACATCCCCTAAAAAAGCATCTAAATGAATTCATATGAATGGAATTATTTACATTAACGCCAGAATTACATGAAATGCTCTGTGATTTATGCTTGCCAGAGGATAAATAAAGATAAACTCTGACAAAATTACTAGACGAATATATAAACCCTAAATCGTCAAGCGTCAAGAACGCTAAATGAAACTGAAAGAAAGTACAGTCAGATAGACAAAGTAGACTTAAAAAATATCTTTCATTATTGTTATGGTCGTAAATTTACGTTGAATACCGACTACGAACCTCTAACGGCTATATTCTACCCACATAAGACGCTACCGACTATGAGTACAATGAGGTTATTTCATTATGCTAATTTTTTATCAGGATTTTATTATGATATAGAATATCGAAAGTCCACAGATAATTCATATGCAGACTATTTATCTAGATTTCTGATTGAACATAAAAAAGGCCGTAACATGACCAGCACAGCCTATTTCAATTGAGTCACATTAATATCCTCAAAATGAATCCAGAAATTATACAAAATAAAACAAAAAAAGACTTCGAACTAAAAAAGTTACTTTTAGCTTTAAAAACTGGAGAGGCAGTTAAAAAGTTTGGCGATAAAGACAATGAATTAATTTTTCGAAGATATTACATACTGAAAGTAACCCGAGTATTCATGCCGAAAAGTTTACGCTTCCGAATACTTGAAAAACTACATGTAGGTCACATAGGCATCGTTAAAATTATTAGCTCGAAGCTACATTTACTGGAAAGGTATGAATCGAGACATTAAGAATTAGGTTAAAGCGTGCCGAGATTGCAACGAAACGAACTCAATAAATCGCTACGCCATCAGTGGAAATAAATAACTACACCATGGGAAAGAATTCATATTGATTTTCTAGGTCCAAGTTCGTAGGTCCAAGTGCAGGTAGGGTGAAGTTAATATCTACAAAGACTATAACAAGTACCTGATGTATATCTAAATTAAAATAGACCTCATGCACATTCGGCATTCCCAACATACTGGTATTAGATAATGGCAAGCAATTTGTGTCCCAAGTATTCAAGAACTTCCAATCAGAACAAGGCGTTGTACCTAGAACATCAGCTCCATACTACCCGGCTACGGATGGACAAGTAGATCGGTATGACAAAACAATAAAATATTCATTACGCGGTAACTGAAAGGCTTAAATACTGTCTCCGTCGGACCCTTATAAGAGAATATCGATCACCATATCAGCTGATGTATGGAAGAGATGTTCGAACAAAATTACAGGCGATGGTTCATAAACCGGATCAGAGACAGAGTGAAAATCTAAGTGAATTAAGAGCTACTAGATGTTTTTCACAAAATGTCAGAGTGCAGGCACGTAACTATAGTGCTTCTAACTAATGGGGATTCATTTAAATATCCCGTTGGGTTGGGACTACATTACGAAGTGCTGATAGACTCCGGAGAAAGATGGCGTTGCCATATAGACCAGCTGTTGCCGGCACCTCTGGTGTGGTGAATTCAAGTGCGGCCGAGGATTGATATATACTACGTATAATAGATGAAACAAGGAGCCTTCCATCATTGATGTGACGTTATGCTGTAAATAAATACAATTTAATTTAATAAATATAACACCCTTTATTAATGATATGGCTAAAGTGGATTGCCTTATCATTAAACGTCATCGTTTAAATGACATCATCAGTTTCATGCAGCCACATCATAGAGTAATATTTTTTACGATCCAGCCACGACATATACATACAACGCGAGTTTATATTAGATTATCTTATGGCAATATCCTAATTTGATAAAACATTGTCACAAGCACAATATTCTTTGTCGTCGAACTATAAAAAAAAATTCTACTCCAACAATAGTAGAACTTTTTTCTAGTTCGATGACCTAAACATTGTAACGTAATATTGTTTAATTCAAATGCCTACTCGAAAGTTATTGACATTGACTGCGATACCAATGGCCACGGACCGTATTACCGCAAACACGACAAAAGGTAACAAGAGTATTTTTTACTTAATTCTAATTACATTCGATTTAGATATGATCATTTATCAATATTATGAGAAAGAATGCAAATTTCGTAATTTTCAATATATATTACTGAAATCAATATAATGTTTTAAAAATATTTAACAACGAAACCATTTTTGCTTCGTTGGTGATGCAATTTTAATTTCTGTGACCATAGGTTTGGGGGCTCCAATTTTCAACACTTATACCCCGTAATCGGTCCATTCTGCATGAAAAGTTGGCTGTCTTACTCCAGCCAACCTTACTACGACCAGAAGCACAGAAATTTTTTGATGTATTTACAAGCTTTGCGGTGTAATGATGGATTACCAAAAATTGGCTGGGGCCATAAACGTAATATTTATTCAAGAATCAGATATAAGTAAAAGATGAGGTAAAACATTTAATCTTTAGTGAAAATATACCTGAAGTTATGGATCATATAACCAGGTCAGGCAGTTTAATTATCTTAAACTCTAACTAAAAGTAAAAGAACTCTCGTCATATTCTGTTTGAGTCGAAAGCATTCATTGAAGTTAAGAAAATTTTCATCTTATTTAGAGAAATTAAAGCTCTATTAGCTTTAATGAAATAAAAACTTTATTACCAACAGTGGGTTTAATTTGATTGAATCGCTAATCGGATGGCACTGGTGCAAATTTTGTGGAGATCCAATATAGAGATATGTATATCTTAGAAGATGACGTCGTGCTGCTGCAATTGATAGTGATGTGACCTTTACTCGCAGATTGCATGAATGTACGTAACTCTTCTGAGATGAATTCGCTTCTAAAGATTTATATCTTTAATTATACTGCCAAATTATGCGAATATAAAAACCGACATTCATAAAACATTATATTTTTTAAATAGAACACAGTGGATCGCCTTAGAGCTAAATATATATAAATACCACAATATATTTATCTCGAGAAGATCTTACAAATTATATATACAAAAAGAATGTGATGACATTCTATACAAAAAACATAGTTGCTCTAATAAATTTAAATATAAGCCGAAAATTTTTATTCTGCACTGGCGAATGCCACCATATCAAACTAATTACTTTACGAAATGGCAATGAAATTCTAAGCCCGTGAATAGTTTAAAGGCCTATTAAAGTGAAATCAATATATCACCTTGGGCACCCTTGTTATAGTTATAAAAGACGTAGTGTTCACCTGACATGTATCAGTTATCTACTGAACTTGAAACCACAACAATCAAAATGTTCACCAAGGTAAAAAATCTATTATGAAAAAATAAAATGCATTTCCGTTCATAAGTTCTGATTAAGTAAAAATTGAAATGGTTTATAAAATTTTTTGCATGTCTTAAGTTTGCTATTAAAGGAGAGAGAGAGAGTAATCTATTTAAGTTTTCATATATATATTGTCATGGTATAATTAGTACAACCATAATTAATGTATAGCAAACGCACTTGTCATTTCAGGTGTTATGCTTCGTGACCATCGCGTCAGTGATAACCGTCAGCTATGGATACGGACACGGTTTCTCATCCCAGCACATTTACAGACACGATGGACCCGCGCACGTTGTCCCCATCCACGGACACGGACACCATGACGCCCATGACTATTATGTGAGCGTAGTAACCGTATTGTTAAAATAATGTAATTGCATTATAATTTTTGCATTCACAGTGCATAATTTTGCTTACACAAGAGGAGTCGTCTAGATAGCAAAAGTTCGTTGCTACGAGTCCTATCTTGGGGTAACTCGGACTCGTGGATTTTTGAATATTTTCATTAAGAAGAAAATTATTTTATAACATTAACGCACTTTAATTGTAATATATCTCTTCACTATTTTAAAGTTCGTATACAGCATCAAATTTTTAATCTCATTTGAGTGATTGTTCAGAAAAAACATTATAGTTCAGCAATATGCCGGAGTGTTAGAGCTGCGATGCTGGTTTACTGTAGCTGATTCGTATAAATTGTATAAAATGGAATATAAAAAAATCGAACCGGAATTCGAATTTACTCATGTATCCAAATTCATGTCATTTAGTGAAGAAATTCTATGATTCCATATATTTTAAAAAAAATACAAAACAAAATTGTTTGTTTATACGTATCTCAGATATTCTATTCCTATGTCATTTCGAAACTCACTTCACTTATGCCACGAAACGTTATAATCAATTCAAGATTGAGCGGATGCCGCTTTTTGAAGTGAATTATGACACCTGATTACGAATTCGGGTTTGGATTTTTACAGAATGGCATGGCTGTTTTAGTTTATAGTACAATGTATGTTTGAGACATTTTATAAAAAAGACAATGAAAATAAAAATTTTACATTTACTAATTATTTTATTTCAGGCCTACCCTAAGTTCGAGTTCGCATACAAGGTAGAGGACCCTCATACCGGTGATTTCAAGTCTCAACATGAGCATCGCGACGGTGACGTGGTCAAGGGCTACTACGCCCTGCACCAACCAGACGGCTCCACCAGACACGTAGACTATCACGGAGACAAGCACACAGGGTAAGGCTAGTCATTTATCTTATATTTATGAGTGTTACTGCAAAATTGTAACCACCGTTTATTTAATTATAAAGTGACAAAGGTTTAGGTTAAAATAAATAATAATAATTCTAGTATATACTAATCTTAAAAACAGGAAAGATTTGATTATTTGTCTTTTATTTGCATCGGCTCCTACTTCACCGATTTTATTATTATTTACATCATACGCGTTTGACACAGGCTATAATTTGTGCGGTCAAAATCAGGGGAATAGAATTAGTGATATAATAAAATGATGACGCTTACAATTTATGTCAACAAATAAATTATCAAAAGTATCAAAAAAGTATTTGTTCATATTTTAATATTCACAGATTTTCCATTTTTCATACAACGAGATTTAGTTTAAATTCGCCGGTTGTCAGACTTTCTAATTCCTGTAGCGATTTACTTGATTTACATTTTGACTCTTACTCCACATACCACAAAAATGTTCTAGATTTTCTAAAATATAATAGCAAATAAAATTAGTATTGTTCACCTCATATAATAATAAACATATTTCATGTATGACAAGAGGATGTATATGTGTATGTGTGTGTATGTATGTATGTATGTATATATATATATATATATATATATATGTGTATGTGTATATGTATGTATTTATATGGCTTATTACGTATGTGATAATATATTTTGAACATATAAGTCTGTAATGAATAACTAAATAGATATTGTAAGCTCATTATGCATGCGGAGCTAACCTTTAAGTGCCTGTTGCAATAAGTCGGAAAAAAATAAGAATTAATGTTATCAATAGTATGTATCATTGTAAACAGATGTTGGTTAGTCAAATAAATAAATAAATAAATAGTTTTGTAATTAATTTTTAAATTAGGAAATTTTTACGTTCATTTTGTTAATACCTTTGAACTAACAGAAAATATATATACATATATCGTAGTTTTGGTTAGGATACTTAGCTCATTCTTTAATACAGGACGCTAATGTTAAAATGATTAAAGCGATATAATTACAAATATATTTGAAGTTTCTAAGAAGGGCGTGACTAATTTAAACGTCGGATTTATTTCGAATTGACAAATTTAATCGACGTATTCATTATCCAATACTGAAAGTTACATCTTACAATTTTTCTACCAAAGTTATTATTACTGTTTTATTATATCTTTTCTATTTGTTTACAACAGGTTCCACGCCGATGTGAAGCACAGCACCCATCACATCGTCCCGCATCACCATCATTATTAACAATAAAGTGATGACTCATCACTCTTATTTATCATTATGGACTCATTGTTGATATTTATTGAATGAATTTTGATATATTTATATTGACTGAATAAACTCGATGTCACAATCTTATTTAAATAATTTTATTTTCATACTGTTTATTTCTCTTTTACCTAATATTTAAACTTTTACCTAATATTTAATATTTAAAGTCGGATTTTAAGGCAATCCTTTTTCAAAATCTATTGGCATTCTCTAAAATTACAATATTTAAAAACGTCCAAATTCTCTTTATTGACTAAACTTACTTTCAAGTGATGTTTGAACATGGTGTGTGTATCTCGCATATTATAAATAGACTCAATAGTTAAGAATTCAAAAGATTTGTATTATGCAACAACACAATAAGCATTGACTTCCAATAGGAGTAGCTTATTGCTACTCATATATACTTATTTCCGGGGGGGGGGGGGGGTCCAATTGCTTTTTTGTCTTTCTACATCACCAGGTGGCGCTATTTTCACTGGAAAGTCTTTTGTTGGAAAATTTTATCGTGACAAAAATATTTTCATAAAAGAATTGTAAAATACTTTTTTAATCAAAGAATGTGAACCAATTCAATAAACTTAATTTGACGTTCAGTGGTTAAAAGTAACGCCGTCTTAACCACGCGTGACCTCAAATTAAGTTTATTGTATTCGTTTACCGCCTTTGTAAATTCCAATAAAATTGTAAGAGTTATTATTCGTTTTAAGAGTTATTGTTTTTTCCGTTGTTCTCTTCGATATCCGTTGAGTTAAAATGCCGTAACAAAATGCTTGATATAACTATGAAAATATTTACAAAATAATATTTGTTAACATATACCTATACAAAAATCAGAGTTGTTAATAATATAGAGGACACCAGAAAAAAAAAAAACTTTAGTCCAAATGTGTTCCTGATACCGTATAAAAAGCTTGAATTAAAAAAAGGTTTTCTATCTTTTTCTCATATATATACTTTTATTAAATATAAAAACGGCCTAGTATTAAGTATTCTCTAAGTGACGGTACGCTGTACCCTACCGCTTATTTTGTCCCAGGTTCCCGCATTCAAACTTTTTGTCTTCGATCTTTAACATCGCTTCTTTTTATTATTCATTTTTCGTTATTTGAAATGTTGAGTAACGCTATATACTCTTCCTGAATGCCAGTTCATAAAAAGATTCTTCCGGCAATAACACGATAGCATTGAAAATAATATGGCAAGTCCCAAAAAATTTAGTCTAGAATGACGGGGTTTCGCCTTTTTCGTATATTTTTGAATTTTTTTTAAAAAATTACATACTTTTTTCTGAGAAGCATTATGTGAACCATAATAATATTGACTTTAATGCATTACTGTTATTAAGCTTATATATGCTCAGTGCTCCTTAAGGCGCTGTCTCCACGAGCGAGAGAATCGCGACGAGTTCGCACATCTATCGTCGTGTAATCTCCACGAATGAGCGATTATTCTGCCAGCGTATCGTCACGACCCGTAACGGAATCGCAGCGTATCCGCGGCGACTCGTGACAGAATCGCAGCGTATCCGCGACGAGTCTCAACAGAATCCTTGACGATGCGTTGTTCTTTTTTTTTGTTGGAAGAATTTAGTTAGGTGCCAGACGAGAGAAAAAAAGTAGCGTCTCAGAAAATAAATAGTCGTATAGGGCAGGTGTTTCTCTTACTTCAAGTATAAACTTTTCGATGTCCACTATTGTAGGTATGGTTTGTTTATAAATGAAGCTTGTCGATAGATTAAATCACATCCTTGCTTGGTGAGAGGTAACGCCGAAATGACGCTACGTTTAAAACGCGCCCGCCGCGCGCTCGTAGCGAGAGCGTCACGTTCTGCGGCGGGCGAGCGGCGTGAGCGCCACCAGTAGCGACGATACCGCAGCGATACGATGACATTACACACGCTCATTGCCACTCGTCGTATCGCCGCGATAATATCGCCGTGTGGAGACGCGTTCATAAAGAGTATATAGAAATACGTGGCACGACGATAATATCGCCGCGATTCTCTCGCTCGTGGAGATGGCGCCTAACTCGATAAAAACAAATATGCTTCGCGCGAGCATGTCACTTGTGCCATAAGTCCAAGCATGATCAGATTTATTTTTGCTTCGTTCAATAAGATTTTACGTCAAAGATATACAAATTATGTTCTAGAATTATTATTGCTACTTAGTGTTTCTGATAAATATAATAATTGATAACGCCTTTACGCTGAAAAAGAAGGGCTTTACTTGCTTTACACGCATCGCGAAAATGATTTTGTTTTAAAAGTTCAACTATCACGGCATACAATATGATATTTGGATGAAAATAAAAGCAGAAGTCAGAAAGCAGAGTCTCGAATATTTGCACACACTACAAGATGCCGTCAGTTATCAATGGTCCAATAGTGATTTCAGGGCCTGATTTAGGGGAGGACCGACTCTTGGGGGTCTATAAAAAGTATAATATTTGAAGGAGCACAACTTTACAACAAACTGCCTTCCAATATAAAGGATGTAAGCTCATTTAACGGTTTTAAGGCTAAATTGCAGGACCATATCATTGAAAATTACAAACATTTATTTAATGTTTCTATTTTTCCATCTTGTAAGACATTGAAAGCTGTTGATGAATCACTTATCCCGTAATAATAAATGTGTTTTTTTTTTTACATTAAGTTCTTATGTATGTGACTATGTCTTAATGAGAATAAAATCTTTGAACTTGCCTTTATGAAGGTTCTCCTTTATGTTGATAGTATTGTTAGGTTTTTGACTATAGATACATTTATACCGTTAGGTTGGCGCTGTCATCCCAAACGCTGACGTCCATATTAAAGTTACTTGGAATATTATATCTTAAAGAATCTTGTCTCTTGGAATCTTGTCTTTAAAAGTTATGTTAAAATTCATTTTGTTATGTGTCCCAACGCGATAGATCGAGATCGAGTTTGCAAGGTTGAATTTCACTTAGGTATACGAAAATTATTGAAAAAAATATTTGATTATGTATTTCCATTGAATTGGCTCTCGAACTATTAGATCATTATAAGATTTTTTCTTCTACGGGAAGCTACAAGATACGCGGGTGACAAATTTACGCAGGTAAAGTTGCGAAAAACAGTTTATATTTAGTTTAGTTTCTTAGATTTTAATGCGATTTAATCAATATACAGAATAATTCAAAAGGAATGTTTATATGTATAATACAGGACCACGTAGGCGAATCCGTTGGCCGAAATATAGTATAATATATATCGTCAATTATGACGTTCTGCGACAGATAAGACGGATGACGGAAAATTCGATCCTATTTAAATAATGTATATGGTGCCTAATTACAAGAAGTAACAAACTTGACAGTCACACTAGAAGTTGTTTACACTACTACTCCTTAAACTACACTTAACATTATCACATGCTATTATTACACTATGAAGTGCTTATCATGAGTTGAACATGAGTACACTAAAGCAAGTGCTTTGATAAAATAAAAAGAGTTCCATTCCCAAAAAACGATATTTTGGGTACAATTAATAAGTTTCATTTGGGTACTTGCAGGGTTTATAATAACAACGATTCCCTTCGAAATAAACTTGCATAATCTTGGTAATGTAACTATTAATTTACAAAAAGCATTTATATTTACCCATTTACAAAAACAACTATCCATATTAATATTATAGAAGTGAAGTTTCGAACTTTGTTAGTTTGTCCATGCAAACCACCTGACTATGACCCCTGGTTATCTTCAGAAATTCTAATTGGATCAGGAAAATTCCGTCAGCTACAGGAAGCTTTATGATACGCGGGTGACATAGCGTAAAATTTAAGCGGGGAAGTTGCGGGAAAACAGTTAGTTATAAAAAATATTAACCAGCAAAATTGTTTGGGATCTGTATTTATCTCGAGAGGATCTTAAAAAAGTTATAAACCAAATAAAGTCACTGTTGTAAATAACTATTACAAAATATGATTGTTACGATAAAGGTGAATATAATCTGATCATTTTCTCACTGCACTGGCGAATGACGGAATGTAGAACTAATTACTTTACGAAATTGCAATCGAATTCTAAGCTCGTGAATAGTTTAAAGGCCTATTAAAGAGAAATCAATGATATTACCTTGGGTGCCCTTGTTATTGTTATAAAAGACGTAGTGTTCACCTGACATGTATCAGTTATCTACTGAACTTGAAACCACAACAACCAAACAAAATGTTTACTAAGGTAAAATAATGGCTTGCGTATTTCAGAACTATATACTTTATATAAAAATCGCCCGGATTGCTAACAGTCTTGGATTTGAAGCCCATCTCAAAGTGCCAAGTGGATTTTTTAAGCATTTTTCATTATAATGATACTTAAGTTTAAATTATATCTATTTAACAAATTACAGGTACTTTGCTTCTTAACCGTCGCGTCAGTGATGACCGTCAGCTATGGATACGGACACGGTTTCTCATCCCAGCACATCTACAGACATGACGGGCCCGCACATGTTGTCCCAATCCACGGACACGGACACCACGATGTCCATGATTATTACGTAAGCATGATTACCTCGGAAAAGTTATTTCATACCACTTAGATCGATAGCGCAGTACCTTTGTTTGGAAGTTAAGATGGGTGACCAAAAATTTAGTAACTCAAGCTCCTCCGTGCTTCGGAATAGATGTTTAGCCGTTGGACCTGATCTCGTCTGCACTGATGGGTCATGGCCGATTCTCTCTATTCGTTTATTTTATCAGAGCATGTTTTAAACCATACATTTTCTTATCACTGGAAAAGTTAAATTTGATGATTATAGCTTAGCAACCTTATACATAACAATTCGATTGTTTTTTTTTATTTGTCAGGCCTACCCCAAGTTCGAGTTCGCATACAAGGTAGAGGACCCTCATACCGGTGATTTCAAGTCTCAACATGAGCATCGCGACGGTGACGTGGTCAAGGGCTACTACGCCCTGCACCAACCCGACGGCTCCACCAGACACGTAGACTATCACGGAGACAAGCACACAGGGTAAGGCTATCTATATCCCATTTAATTTTAACAGACGCAATTCTTCGGAATGGCATTATTTAAAATAATAATACGCGGGCGATGCACTATTCTACCTCCATAGCGGAGGGTTCATACGCCAGCTTCATGGTCAGGTCAGTGTAAACAAATACTTTTCTGCATTATCTCGAGTCTGGGTGTTGTGGTAAGGCACCTATAATGACTCAGGCCATTTTAAGATTATGAGAGTTACGACAGTGACCTTTGATACTTTGTAGCTGTTAACACATTTAGTTTTGCCATAATGAAACATTTTGAAAACCGTTCACGTTAAATTAATATATTTGTCTATGTGTTTTAGTTAGAATGGTTTGAAATTCCAAATGGCCAAAAAGGGGACAATAGCCAAAACCGGGTATCCTGTCCTTACCTTTGTTGTCTCAGATACTCCATAATACGGCAGCTTAAGCTTCTCATCTTGCACTGTGAACAATGTATGTAATTTTGCTTAATATAAAAAATAAAATAATAAACCTCCTTTTTCCGAAATAGCAATATTGATCATCTTTACCCCTTTTATATTATTAGTAATAATATACATACTTTCAAAATGAATATAGTATAAAAGAGTTTTTTATTCTATTTAAAACAGATTTCACGCCGATGTGAAGCACAGCACCCATCACATCGTCCCGCATCATCATCATTATTAACAAGTGATGAGTAAATAACGCTTCACTTCTTATTTATTATTATGAACGTGTTGACCGATGATTTTGTTGAATGAGTTTTGATATATTTATATTTAGTGAATAAACTCAATGTCATGATTTTGAATAAGTTGATACCTTTTATTTTCCTTTACCATTTCTTATTATTATTACTAACCTTGTATGATAAACAAATTATCATCTACATCAACCTATTAAAATACAGCCTTTCCTATAATAGAAAGATTGGGCCATGACCTGACAACAGCAACACAAAACTTTTGTCACCTTTACGTGACGAATCCATAGTATCGATACTAACATTATAAATGGGAAAGTACGTTTGTTTTTGTTCTTTCACATTACAACTGAGCGTTATTATAGTATGTTTTTTTGTTATGATATATAGCACAAAACATAATCTCATTACCGTGGGATGTGTAACGATTGACATAAGCTACTTTCTACTGCAAAGAACCTTCTAAATCATATGGGAAATTACGCTCTTATCGTTTTTGAATATCACGAAATTATTATACGCATATATTGCTTTATATTATAAGTATCATTTCTGACCCATGGAACACCAATTTGGTTCACCTAAGTGTACCACGGTAAACTTTTTGCACCCCTGGTTCACCTAGGTGTTCTGCTTTTTAAAATAATGTTCCCGTAGTTCACCTAAACTCTAAACCTTAATCAAAACATCTGGCTTGCTCATTAACAATAGGGATGATGACTCATGTTTGTTTGTTTGTCCGTTAGGTAGTGTTAAAAGATATTAAACACGTATTTTTTCGCATGACGTCACGTTTGGATACGTTTTCTACTCAACTGTGACGTAGCGAGCCCCCACTCCTCAACTTTAATGCCTGTTATCTAAGCTATTTCTTGTTAAATTGAAGTAAAAAAAATACGTATCTAATATTTTTGTATTAGGTATCTGACTGACGGACTAAATAGAATTGCATTTTTTTAGAGAAGTATTAAACAGTACAGTTGTAAGTACCAAATCTTACTCTATTCAGAACCTTCATTGAAGTAAAAAAAGTTATTTGTGAATATTTTATTATCATGCTTGAAATTCGAAACGAATTAATTATTTTTGGAAATTACCCTCTTTTGAAGACATTTTTATTTGTTTTTTATTTATTTATTAATATTAAAAAGTTTCTCGCTCAGTTTCACAAACGTCCATTGAGATTTGACGATGCCTGTAAGCTCTAATGATTGTCAAATCTGTATGTGCAATGTCGCTTTGAACTAATGACAAAAATGGACGTTTGAACAATTGGTGTCTCTCTTCTAAAATACTGTACCGAATTCGATTCTCTAAGCTGGAAGCAAATTAGTCAAACAAAACACTCATTGCGAACTGATGATTCGTTAGAAATAAGAGACAAAGATACACTTATAGCATTTTGGACACTTCTTTGGAAGCTCATATATTATACTTATACCAATGTAATAATATTGCGGATCACGTACGATCTGCGATGCGAGAGTTAAGCAACTTTTAAAATAGCTGGTCAAAGGATAGTGACCAAAAACTGTATCATCTCGTGCTTTTTCGTGCTTCGGGAGCCACGTTAGGCCGTTGGTTGGTTATCCGTACTGACCCGCGTCGTATGGCCTAAGACCTGTTCCCCAGCAATGAAATTAATAGACTAATGATAAATATTACGCGATTCCAATTACTTTAAATAGGTATACGTCAAATCGATAACCTCTTTTTTTTATTCAGCTAAAAAGAGATTAATTTGATTCAACACTAACATAAAACCTTATTTTGAAATCAGATTAAAATATACTGCTTCGTTTTAGTCGTAAAAAGTAATATTCATGTCACTATTTTACTCATCGGTTTTTAGCAAACTATTGTATTTATTGTCATTACGTCGCCACTCGTGGCATATTTTTAAACGACTGAAAAAAGGGTATATTGTGTTTACGGTTAATGTATGTATGTATGTATGATTCTCTTTATTCCACCATTACTTTTGAAAGACTTAAAAGATATGCATATGGTATCATTAGAAACATTACAGTATCCTGAGTGGCATTGGTTGATATTTATAAAAAAAAATATTCAAAATGGCGGATGTATGACATCATTCATAAATATATGAAAATTATTTTTTTCTATAATTATAGCAAATTAAAGTTTTGGTGAGTGCATCCCAATAATATATACCTTGTTTACATAATTAACTGCACACTAAATAAAAATTATGAAAAAATTAAAAATGACACCCCCAACTCCAATGAGAATTTAATACGACATGTTTCTTTTTTTATTTTAGTTTAATTTTGTAAGATAATAAAAAGATTAAGTCTTTGAGTTAAAATAATTTTGAATTAAATAAGAAAGTCTTTGTTGTTAACTTATATTTTTTATTGCCCTTTAAGTAGATTGTTGAAAATATTAAATATGTATTTTATGATTTTTGCGTAATCAATAAATTGAGTTGAAATATCGCATGAAGTCACCCTTTGGTACACTTTATACAAAACTGTGAAGTAACGAACACCCACTCCTCAACTTTAATGCGTATTATCTAAGCCATTCCTTGTTTAAATTGAAACAAAAATAACCTATTTAATATCTGACAGACTAAATACATTTTTTTACCCAGTTGTCACCCTATTAATACAATAAAATATCTCAAAACCATTTCCCATTCTCCCTACTCGATTCAACTCCATCTATAAGGAAGGCCTGAGCTCCAGTAATGGGGACTCTAATAGTGCAGTTAATTGTTAATTCTAATACATTACGAGGCAAATTTGTTAGGTATTCAATGAAATGTAATATTGTCATTTATTTTGATAAAAATCATATATAATACAATTCATAGCTAGTTTTAAAAGTAATTTTCTCTGCTTAAATATAATATCATTTTTATGTAATGTAAATCATAATTTCGCCATGCCAATAATAGTGTCTTTCCCAAGATATTTGTCGCAAAGCAATATAGGCCCAACATGCAAGTGTTTTTACGAAATAATTGCAAAAACTCTTAATGCGCCTTCATAATTTTTAACTGTCTATATAATTTGGAAATATATCTATATTGCCGCGACTAACGCATTTATGGATATATAAACAGTAACGATTTGAAAAATGGTATCAGTATTATATTGAACTTTGAAACAATAACAGTACCATATAAAATATTACATAAAAATGTTTTCGAAGGTAAGAATACACAAAAAAAAATTTAGTTATTTGTGCATTTTTTAATTGTAATTCTGAAATATTTTTATTAAATGAAGAAAGAATTGCATTAAACAACCTTCATTATTCAAGAAAATGTTTAATTTACTAATGATAATAATTCTACTGTTTTAAAAATTGATCAATACGTGAGTTCATCTATTCAAAAATAATTGTAATAGTTTCAAAAACTGAATAAAAACAATGTTATAACTTAATTCTGCCACAAAATGCCATCGTTTTTAAAAGGTATATTATTATAACATTAGTAATTAATTCTTCATCTGTTATATACGTACATAATGTAGGTTAAACCAAACTGTCGAATTCGTTCAGTATATTTCTAGTTTTATAATACTTAAGTTTAAAATTGATGTATTTTTGTGTAAATGCCAATTAACGCGTAATAAATATAATTACATTTTTTCATATCACAGGTGTTGTGTTTAATCCCCGTGCTGGTCATGGTAGCTGCTGAATTTGAACACAACCACTACCACAGTCACAGTTACGGACATTCGTCACAGCATATCTCTAGACACGATGGACCCGCCGAACCTGTGTTCGTGCACGGTCACGGACACGGTCACGGTCATGGGCATGAGGAACATCACTACGATTATTATGTAAGTTCAACTTTTGAGGGTGTTGCATGTTTCAATTGTACTCTATTACATCTGTACAAATATCATTAAACATCGAAAATTTAAATTTCATGTATTATAGAACATTTTGTAAATAAAAATTAGAGAAACAATAAATCAAATGAATGGATAATTAGGATAGCATTATAATATTATTTAAATCTCATAAGTTACATAGATACATTAATCCTTGTCGCAATACACTCCTTTGTGGACAGTCTTGTAAACACAAAGGTGATTATTATCGCGGAAATGTCCTGAAGGTGACTGCGTTAACGAATTTATAGTATGCCCTAGCTGGAAGTGGCTATGCCTAGGCTATGAATCTCGCAAAGGTTAATATTAGGTTAGGCAATAAGATTATATATCTAACTATATCTTAAGTCCATATGTTGATAAATCTTAGGTTTTACTACCAGATCTTGGGATTTACCAACATGAGGTAGAAAATGTAAGATATTGCTTAAGGAAACACGATTTTCATGATTTTCCAAACTCTGGGTTTTCTCTTCTTTGTGGATATTAAGGGGCATGGGTCATAACCCTTTACGTTGGCCCTATGTGGTTTAGGGTATTAACGACTGCAAATGTAGCCGGAACCAACGAGTCTAAGTACCTTTCAAAGCACGGAGTGGTTCGAAATTATATTTTTTTGGTTAGCCATCCCGTAAACGACCTTAGCAAAAGCTGCTTCAAAACAACGTTCGAGAGCCGCGGCGCTCATCCATTACGCCATCGAGCTACTCTTTCACTGTTTACATGTACATAATATATGTAACTTTCAAATTTTTATTTTCATCAATAGGCGCATCCTAAATACGAGTTTGAGTACAAAGTGGAGGACGATCACACCGGCGACCATAAGACACAGCATGAACACCGCGACGGTGACGCTGTGAAGGGTTTCTACTCCCTGCATGAACCCGACGGTTCCATCAGACACGTAGACTATCATGGCGACAAGCACTCCGGGTAAGACTAACTATTTGTGGCATGCAAATTCAGCCAGTTTGTACTTTTGAGGTGCTCGTCCACGCACCGGCTGCATGACACGCATGATTTGTAGATGTTACACGACCACTGCAGCGACTGTTAGTTTTGACGTCGGAATTATGCTGATGACGTCATAAGAATATTTACCAGAATCCGTTGCGTGTCGTACGACCGAGTAATGCGTGCGCAGTGCGTGTGCTAACACTGTACTTATTAACAGGGATAGAGTATTGTTTATTCTTTTGTTCAATATAAGCTTCAAAGAACAGAAACAAGAAACGGAGACTTTCTGGGAATACCTATTTTTCGGGACATCTGCCCCAAAATTTAAAATAAATTTAAAAATATTGTATTTCGAATAAGTTTTTGTTTAGTATTAACCAAATATATGAAAAAATACGTTAAAAGTGTTAATTCTATATACATGGATATTAATAATGGCTTTCACCTGGAGGGGTAGGTAGAGGCTACAATTATATCCAATAACTATCTATCCAATTACTAATATTATAAATGTGAGTTTTATAAATAAATTTGATATTTGGTGTCTTAAAAAATATAGTCCTAAGGAAGTCTCCGTGTAAACACTATTCCTATCACTGGTTATAAGTCTTGTTTATTCTTATTTTTTTTTTATTTTTGTATTCACTTTATAGTAATAATAATACAATAAAATTATTTATTTCTCACAACAAAAGATATTTATATATAAACATAAAGGTACAACCCCAAATATTCACAAATTTATCAAAGAAATGTCTTTCTTTATGGGAGACTGGTTCCTGTATAGGTTTTTAGACCAATATTACAGGTCACTAGGCCCCAGACTTTATAATTCTAGTTCATTTACTTAATAGGTACTATGCAATTAAAAGAAACTTCAAAATAGAAATACATAGATTAAAGAAAATGATAATATACTATATGGATTAAACGTTTGTATTTTATTTATTTTCCAGGTTTCATGCAACTGTAAAGCACAGCACTCATCATATTGTTCCTGAAAAACATGATCATTTTTAAGTTGATGAATCATAAGTCAGATATATCTGTAAATGTTAACTACCTATATTGATTTTATAAATAAACTTTGTTAAATAAAATATGAATAAAGACTTTATTTTTTAGAGAACAATGATTGTTACTTATTACTAGCAACATTTTATTAGCGAGTATTGAACCTATCTGAAAAAGAGCAACGAAGAGTTTCATTACCCCAAAACGTTATATTTTTCTTCTGATTTATATTCTAAATAACTTTCGCAAAAACTGGTCATAGGCAAGGGGAAGAAGGCAAGATATTACTTACCATGAGATCTTCCGTCCTTCGAATGTAAGTTAAATCATAAAGAGCCTACTCTGTTAAACCACGAACGAAATTTCCTCTAATTTCTCATCATTCTTATAATTTTATTTAAATCATATTCGTGACGAATATCTATGTTTGTTCCTACTTCTGTTGTATTATCAATTATTAATAAAAAAAACCGGTCAAGTGCGCATTTAAAATTAAGCATTTCAATTTTTATTTAATTTACTTTACCACTATGTCGGCGTAATTAACCTGTATACTCATGTCAAATTTCAACTTTCAAGTATCAATAGTTCATAAGCTAAACCGCAGACGGACTGACAGACGGACATGGTGAAACTATGAGAGTGCCTTGTTTACTACGAAACCCTAAAAATGCGTTTCTTTAAAGTCATATTAGTTTTTGAAATAGACGAAATTTCGTTTTCAGTGATACAGAAATAGGCCTTCTGTCTATTATCCATATTTTATTAGTTACCTACCGCGTCACGTCACTTTTTAATCGACAAACTAATACTTGATTTACTTTTATTTCTAAACTCATTTGGTTAAGCACATTTTCAAGTAATTTTATCATGCGCTAGTCAATTACATTAGAAATGGACTATATAAAAAAATCTCTATAGTTGAAATCGAATCAAATTGAATAGGGAGATAAATAATAATAATAAAGAAGAAAGGGAAACACCACGCAGGTCCAGAGCAGATCAGTGACTGTTAATGACTGCTGATGCATCCGGTGCCCTAACTTTCTAATTTTAAAATCAACATTTGAAAGATATTCACAAACTTTACGCTGCAACTATTTGGTATATGATAGCAAATGCGATCACGACTTTTTTTCAGATATTTAATGAACGATAACGTTTATTTGACGTTAATCGTAATCGTCTAAGTAAAGTGATAGTTACAAATAGCTATCAGGAAATGTAAAAAAAAAAATTCTATGACATTTATATTAATCAAATCATCACAAGCAGTGGGCTCTCGGCTGAAATTATGATGATGATGATGAAAAGCGATTTGTACTTTTAAAGTTACACAATTCCATACACCACTATCACAACCGATAAGCGTCTGGAAGGGATTATGATAATTTTTACAATTCTGAAGCACGAAGATAATTTGAAATAATACGTATTTGGAAAAACAATCAAAATATTTATACTCGACTTTAAAGCCTTCCTATTAGGCAAGTATATTACACAGCGAAGGTATAAAAAAAATCTATATTGACCCGACCAAGAACTGAATCTGGAACCTCAGAGATGGCGACACCTTGAAACAGGCTTGCAAACAACTCGATTGCGGCGGTTGAAACGATATAATTAAATCAACGTATAAACCGTTTTTTATTTTATTTTATAATGTATGACTTTCATACTTTGCTTTGATCATATTGTTCGGCGTGGCGCAACAAGAAATTTTACAAATGGCTCTTTCGCACGCATGCCGACACTTTAGACAATGGGTGCCCAAAATGCAGAAAATAAAATAAAGGTGCTCATATAAATGAATGAATGAACACTTTATTGATACGAAACATTAACAAAATTAACATTAGCTATAAAAGTATTAACAGTAAAATCGGCAGATTATATCTTTCATGAAGCCGAAAGTTAGTACGGACATTAAAAAAAAGACATTAAAAAATAAAAATCATAGACTAAAAAGTTTTTATGGGAGATTTTTACTCTACACATTTGGATGAATGGAAGCAAAAATACCCTTTCTATTAAAGAATATAAATTTACGTTGTGCAACAATATAAATAAAATAACGTTACAAAAATGGTTGCATTTTGATGTCTATGGTTGCGTATGTTCATAATCATTCTTATGTATAAAATAGGCTGTTAGAAATTAACTTAGTTTTTTCCCAACGCCACATTGTATTCTTTCATAAGCAACTTCACAATTAATCCACATAATCATTATATTTACATTAAGCGGCTTTGATCGCGTACTTTATCACCAGGGAACCGTTTCGTAACATAAATAATTGCTTAATGTTCATCCTGGCTTACTAGGACTTTAAATTCTGACGTCTATTGTCTAAAGAATTTATTGTTAATTTACACATATAAAAGCTACTTGTTTAATATTTTCTATCATTTCTTTTTTTTTAGCATCATCCCCATTCAAACTATTGTTAAAAGAAAGATGATCGGTCTTGAAACATGTTTTGGCCAAAACACCTTAATTTTTACTCTCAAGGCCGCACTCACTTGTATAAAATGTAAAGCAACTCACATAACTGGTTTGGACAGATAATAATACTTTTACCTTAATTAATTCCCGCTGTGACGTTATGTTACGATATTTTTTTTATATAAAAGCATGATTCAAAAATATTTTAATATCATTTCTCAATTCTCAGTCTTATTTAAAGGTGGTCGAAGCAATATTATTTAAAATGTTCTCAAAGGTAAAATTACAGAGTATTATATATATAATATAATAAAGAAGAAATATTTTACTGATTGTTTGTTTGCATAACTACTCCGATTTTAGAGAATATTTTACCCTTAGAATCATACATTATCCCTGATGAATACAGGCGCCAGAATATTTTCAAAAATGTTTGGGATCCATCTGACGTCAATACCCATACGAAACAAGAGTAGGCCATTAGTTCTGTAATAAAATGCTACAGTTATTACTATTCGGCTTTTTTATCGAAATAATTGAGCTGTAATTTGATTCATTTTTATGAGATATTTACTTACTTTGTAATAATTTGCATTAGGACCTTTTGTCTATAATGGACCACAGCAGCTTTTCAAATTAAAAATCAAATCTTTTCTATATTGCTTCAGGTCTGGGAATTTCGGAACAGTCATTGTCTCCGATACTCCATAATACTCATAATTTGCTCTCTGAGCAATGTATGTGATGATATATAATATTTATAATTATTTATTTTACATCAAAAATAGCTTTCAGATTATTAATACTAATATATAAAGGTCGTACTATGGTTTACTTATAGATCGCCTTATCTCTTGCTATATTCGCGGTTGCCGCAGCCCGCCCACAACATAGCAATGGACAACAACACGGATTGTCCTCTCAAAGTCTAGTATTACATCAGAGTGGACATGACCAACATAGCTACAATCATCAGCAAGTGGCGCAACAAAACCAACATGAAGAGCTTCACAAGCAAGATCACCACGAGGACTACTATGTAAGTGAATTTGCTTAGTAGACATGAGCAACACTTAATGAGAATGAGCACGCTTCACCTTACTCTAATGAAGCAGAGTACATCTGCAATGCTGTAATAAACCTCCTCTATGGGATAAATATATATCGATTTCACGAGCACTATCCACAAATGAAACAACTTTTAAACGGTTTAATCGCGTTTGTATTTTTCTTTTATTGACCGTGTTCACATAACAAAATTTACCTAAAAAAAAAGTTCTTTTATTTTGGGATGTTTAGTTACATTGTGACACTTAATTTTTTTATTTAATGAATGTTATCTAAGGAAATATTTGTTTAATGAAAGAAAAAATAATAATTCTGGACAGTTAAAATATTCAATCATATTTTTTAATTAATTGATGATGCTGTCCAGTATAAGAACTGTTAAGTAAAACTTTAACTGAAACTAATTCAAAGTTCTACATTCTTCTGGCCTATTTGAAATTAAGTTGTCCTCTACAATTCATCTGACTACGGGAGCAGATTTTATATCCTGGTCTATTTTCACTTACTTGTGGTCTTTACCTCCTTGCTCGTTAGAGTAGGGGCGGAGAGTTATTTCATGTTTCATTTTACAGGCGTATCCCAAGTATGCGTATGAGTACTCTATAAAGAACCCCCACACTGGTGACTACAAGACCCAGCACGAGACCCGCGACGGTGACGTCGTTAAAGGGTTCTACTCGCTGCATGAGGCTGACGGTACAGTGCGCATCGTCGAGTACACTGCCGACAAACACAACGGGTCAGTGTACTTAAAAATCTTAAGAATTTTTTAGATAGCTAATTAAATTTTGTACCTATTGATAAAGTTAGCATCTTAGCAGATAGTAAAAGAATTCACCGTTAATCATATATTATACACTTTAAACTAAAAAAAAAACATAATTATATCGAGCACTAACACAGTTAAATAAATATTTTATGTCTTTTTACAGATTCAATGCTATCGTGAAACACGAAGGTCATGCTAAACATATTATTCCGGAGCAGAAGCACCACTGATGGATTTGGACTGATTGGCCGTCAAGCACCTTTTTGTTTTTGTTATGTTTGTAAATATACGTTTTAAGTAATTAATATGTGTTTCAAATCATTACTTTTCTAGATCGGAACCTAAGTATTTAAAATCCTTATACACTTATATTACTTTTATTTCCACAATATCAACATTTTTACTAACTTTTTTGTGCACTAAAAATCTACGGCAATCCCATGAGTAACAGCAAATAACGTTTTTCATATATTAATTTTATCTATTATATTTATTTATTGAACTGTATTGACCAATATAAAAATAGTACAAAAAGCGGACTTAATGCTGATTGCATTCTCTACCAGTCAACCTTTCGGAAAATAGACAAACACAATGGCGGTACAGAGCAATAAAATAAAAAAAACTGCAACAACAAATACTAAACTAATCATTAAAATTATAGATACCTAATCAATTTTAATAGAATGAAAAATTATAAAAGATAATTCATTATTATTTACCGACCCGTTTCGGATTTTGGTTATTTTGTAAAATATTTAGTAGTTAGATCAAACGTAAATAAATAGAAGAGTTTGTGTATGCAAGTGTCAATTACAATCTGCTTCTATTTTTAAGTGACCAACTAAGCTTTAACACCTAGGAGAATGTGTCATTGGACAATTGGCTCAGATAAAACTTTGCTATTAGATTATGATTGAATATATATATATGCAACTTGAATTTCCAAATTTATTATCTGAAGGGAATTTACCAATACAAATCACCAAAAAAATTCTTCAATTTCTTAAATTTTCTTCTACTCCAATGTATTAGTTTTTGAAATGGAAGCAATCATTGCAGCCTTCATGTTTAGTACAAGGTTTGGTTGACTGTTATTAGGACAAAACGGTGTTCCTTCATCATATCCGGTTCCAAAACTTCAATATCTACATGATTAACTATAACCTTAACTTAAAGTATTTAAGTATATATTTTTGTTTACAATTGGATAGCACCATATTACTCATTTTTGAAAAAAAAATCCCTTCGTCTTAGCTAATAGGTAACTAACAGAGATGTTCATAAATTTAAACCATTTCTTTCGATTTAAGTGTTACTGCATATTGCTTAATGACTTTTTTATAAATTTGATGGCAACTTAAATGATTTAAGGATGATGGCTATTCTTTTATTGTCATACAACTATGGATAATATAATTAAATATTTTTTTAACGAACTGCCAAGCTTCTTCAAAAGATCTTTGGTTAAAAAGAAACTATATTGTTAATAAGTACTTAATACTTATTATGTAAATATACGTTTATACTACATTGTTAGAGATATTTAAGTTTAAGATACCGTATCAAATACCACGTAAACCAATCAAACCAATTATGCATCTGTTTCCCCGAACGGTTCTTGGTGCAAATTTTATTGCTATCTTCTGTATGTATGTTCGTTCTCATAACATTTTTGACAAATTTATTAACTCTCGCTTCAATTTCAATAGATAAACTATGTATGATTCACTGTCAATAAAATAACTTGATAAAGTATACCTTTTTACCCGCCTGCGCGACTCAAAGGAGGGTAATGTGTTTATCAGTCTATGTATGTATGTTTGTTTCTTTGTGGCGTTCTAGAGACTTAATGCGTAGGCCGATTTTGATGATTCTTATTACGCCAATCGATTCGTCTTAACCTTGTGAAGCGGTGGGTTGTAGATGGGGGGTGAGAAGCACCCCCCAGACTTAAGGTTAAAAGAATATAACTAAAATAAAATTTTAACAATCTTTATATTTGTTCTGAGGGGGTAGGTATAGGTATTCGCTCGCTATGGTTCTTGTATCTTGAATTATGAGGGGACGACTTAGCTTAAGTATAGTTAGGGATTTAGTGACGAGTTCGCGGGGTCAGCGTCTCGGGCCGGGCAGAGGCTGGCAAGGGTGTAGACCCGCCGTCAGCTCCGGTCAGCAGCACTGAAGATCCACGAAAACTCAGGCACATCGCAGAGCAGCGTAAGTCAGGAGGACTCGGGTAGAAGAAGATCCCTGTTAACATAAATACAGCACTGAATAGAAGTTCAATAAGTGCGGCTACCTGTGGCCTGGAACATTTAAGATAGCTGCGTTGCTATACCTTCTATAAAAATCTACCGGCTAAAAAAAATATAAAAATGTTTGTTTCAAATGATATTAAAAATCATTTAGAATGAAGTTAAATAAAAGATGCTATGATAATAATCTGTAAGTTAAAAAAATACAAATACTATTATATTAAATTACACGGGAATCGAATTCAAGTTCAATTAAAATAAAAGCACTAAGTGTTCCTTAATATTAAAATTATCTTGATTTCAAGGTTATCAAATATTATTTATAGCACAACCCGGGAATCGAACCTGAGATGGATCATGAGTTGAAACTAAAATAACTAGCATTCGGACAATGTATCGATTCGGATATTGAATTTTTAGACAAAATTTTTAGACAGACAAAATTAAATATGAAATCTGTAAGGTAGAAAAGTAATAAAATTTTAATTGAGACTATGCTATAGTCTCAGAACTCCGTTTTGTTTCAATATATTGTTTTATGAATGTTATTTATTACCTTAAATATAGCAAAAATTCTATAATGTTTCCTTCAACACCTACTTTACATTTATTGCAATAGAATGAAATATTTTCACACATTTGGTTGACAACCCGATCTTCATCTCGGAATTAAATGTTCAAAACGTTAAATATTATAAAGCAACGGAATAGATTTAGCATTTAAAGTTACTTATAGGGCTTGTGATTTTAAAAATAAAACACTTCAAGGTACGTAGGCGGGATGATAAATAGCTAGCCCAACCCATATTTTGTATAATAACGACATAAAATCTCCTTTGTATTTTACTCATTGGTTCATTAGCTGCCTGTGATCCAAATTTCAAATCAATCGTATAGTTTTTCTTTTAAATATTGACATTTCAAAAAGTATTTTTTTGTTTTTTCTGCAAAATGGATAAAATTGAGCTACGAGCTGTGATATCGTTTTTGCATTTAAAAGGATTAAAAGGTGAAGAGATTTTTCCGGAGGTGAAGGATGTTTTGGGAAAAAAAAATCCTTCATGTGCGACCATAAAAAATTGGGTGGCTAAATTTAAACGTGGCCGTACCAGCACTCAAGATGAACATCGTCCAGGACATCCAAAAAGTGCCACTACTCCTGAAATTGTGATCAAAATTCATGATGCAGTTTTAGCTGAACGAAGATTGAAAGTTTCCGAGATAGCTGATACTGTAGGCATCTCTAAAGAACGGGCGCATTACATTTTGACTCAAATTATGTATGAAAAAATTATCCGCAAGGTGGGTGCCGCGATTGCTTACAGTTGACCAAAAACGCGTTCGTATGCAAATTTCACAAGAATGTTTGGACCGCTTTAAGAGCAATACAACTGATTTTCAGACGAGACTTGGGTTCACCATTATATACCTGAATACTCCAAAACAGGCAAAAGCCGTAAAATCAGCGGGGAAAGTCACGGCGTCAGTATTTTGGGATTCAAAGGGTATATTGATTATTGATTACCTTCCAAAAGGACAAAAAACATAAATGGCGAATATTATGCTGATCTACTGGATAAATTACAAATGTGTATTCGTGAAAAAAGACCCGGCCTGGCTAAAAAAAAATAATCTTTCATCAGGATAATGCGCGCGTTCACACGTGCATCACTGCGATGGCGAAATTCAAAGAATTAAATTATGATTTGCTACCACACCCAGTTTATTCTCCTGATCTGGCACCATCTGACTTTCATCTATTCCCTAAGCTCAAAATTTTTTTAGGTGGATAAAGATTTGAAAGTAATAGCGAGGTGATGTCTGCCGTGGATAGTTATTTTGAAGACAACTTAACAAGATTAACTTAAGCACATCAGCTAAACATTCAAAAGAAAGACAGTTTATTGAGTAAGCTGTTACACTTGCGAGTGTCACTAAAGACATGACAGTAATCAAAATTCATCACAGCGACAACAAGACGCCATATTGTCAAAATGAAAAAAATATAAATTGATGAACTATGTCAAGTGGTGTGTCGTTGAATATGTATTTTAAAATCATCTTTAGGTTCCTTTTATCATTTACATTTTAAATAATAGTTTAGGATATATAACGATTTAAAGTTGTTTAACAAAACATTCTCGCTAATTTTCTCACTTATTGATTTAAGTTTTTATTTAATGTATAGACGATATAAAAACAAAAAAAAAACAGTGAAAAAGGATGAATAACAAATATTTTTGGTAAAAAATAAAACATACGTAGCTTTAAGCCGAGTTAGGTCTTTAGTATCAGTCAAACTCCTTGGGAAGCTTTGATTGGTAAAATTTGAATGGGACTGTGAGTCGTTCTGTTCAGTATTACTTAACAGAATTCTAAACTACTGGTCTTGTTTCTTTCTTTTTTGTTTTTTTTTAAGTTAATTTGTCGTGTATTTTTTAAATTCGTTTTAACGCAGTCGGGTTTTTGTTTTTCTTTAAATTATTTTTAAATAGGAAATCGAAGCGTTTACAATACAAATTTACAGAGACATTTCGATTTAAAATTATTGTGTCAGTTTTATTGTTTACATATTCTCTTATTCTTTGCTGCAGGTCTTTTTCCTCATAGATACTCTTGTGACTTAGCTTAAAACAAAAATGATTTTATTTTATAATGTAATAAAAATTAGTTACTTTTATATTTTAATTTATCCAATTGGCATTACTTAGTATAATATCTCAGAACTCCATAAATTTTGTCTGCCATAAGTGTCTCACAAATGTAAAATACAATGCATTAGGCGTCCACCTCACTCAGACTCAACGATAAATTAAGCCTACTGCGCAAATACATCAGTGAGCCCACATTATTCATCCTTTTAAATTAATAAAATAATAATAACGTTGCAGATTACTTATTTTCTTGATTATAACTTATCAATTTCGAATATAACTAACTAACACACTCTCAGCCTCTGCTCTTGATACCTG